GAAGCTACTCATCGAGTATCAAGACGTTTTCTCAAAGGGCACGGGAGACCTGGGGAAAACGGACCTGGTGCATCACGAGATCAGGACAGATGATACGGCCCCCATACGCTAACGTCCCAGACGTCTCCCTACCTGGCAACGGGCCAAGGCGGACGAGCAGGTAAAAGACATGCTACAGAAGGGGATAATTGAGCCATCAAATAGCCCATGGGCATCTCCAGTCGTCTTAATGAAGAAGAAAGATGGATCCACCCGGTTCTGCGTGGACTACCGGTTTCTCAACGAACACAGACTGAAAGATGCATACCCGATACCCAGGGTGGACGACAGCTTAGATTCGCTAGCAGGGACACAATGGTTTTGCACCCTAGATCTGGCCAGTGGATACTGGCAAGTGGAATTAAATGAGGATGCCAAGGCCAAATCAGCTTTCGTTACCAGAGGAGGACTGTACCAGTGGAAGGTCATGCCTTTTGGCCTCTGTATCGCCCCGGCTACATTCGAGAGGCTGATGGAAAGGATTCTCTCCGGGCTTCAGTGGGAAACACTACTACTGTACTTAGATGACATCGTGGTCTTCGCCAAGACGGTGAATGAGGAGATAGAGAGACTTGAGGAAGTCTTCCGGAGGCTGAGACAGGCCAACCTCAAAATAAAGCCGAAGAAATGTAGCCTCTTCAAACAATCGGTAGCCTACCTGGGACATGTGATATCTAGTGAGGGCGTAGCCACGGACCCCGAGAAAGTTAGAGTTGTGGAGGAATGGCCAACACCTCGGTCCACCAAAGATGTAAGGAGTTTCATTGGATTGGCTTCTTACTACCGACGTTTCATTCAAGGGTTTGCCAAGGTTGCCCAACCATTGCACCAACTTATGGAAAAGAACCGGATGTTCCTGTGGACAGAGGACTGCGAGGTTGCTTTCTGCACTCTGAAGACACAGTTGACATCAGCACCCATACTAGTCTACCCCAAAGAAGGAGGAGAGTTTGTACTAGACACGGATGCCAGTAGCACAGCCCTGGGAGCTGTGCTATCCCAAAAACATGATGGTGTGGAGAAAGTCGTTGCATATGCCAGCCGCACTATGTCAAAGCCAAAAAGGAATTACTGCGTCACGAGGCGAGAACTCCTGGCCGTTGTGACATTTGTCAAGCACTTCCGGCATTACCTGTATGGTCGACACTGGCTAGATGGATGGAGATCTTGAGTGAGTACGACTTCACGATCCAACATCGGCCAGGTCGAGTCCACCAGAATGCCGATGCACTCTCCCGCATGCCATGCAAGCAGTCCGGAAGAGGTATGGAGCAGAACGAAAAGGACCAGGTGGAGATGCCTAGAATTAGTTGCCCAGAAGATTCGGCAATCGGCGATCCTTAGAACGAGGGAAGACAGGAGGAGACAGAAGGGAAAAGTCAAGGCCAACAAAATGTACCGACGACAGGGGTGAATGCAGATCGTGGGACCAGAATGATAAGTCTCTCACCAAAATGGACTCTGAAGGAACTGAGGGAGAAACAGTTAGGTGATCCTACGATTGGACCTATTGTCAGAGCTGATTGGGGCGGAGTAGAACAAGCAGAGGTTCGACGGCAGAGACCTACTGGAACGAGTGATGTTCTGGTGGAGTCTGGATGGCCTTTGGCCCGGCCAAGGATGCAGGCTCCAGGGGAAATGCCAGGTAGCTTAAACACCCCACAGTTGGCGTATGATGCGAGGTGTAATCTGCAGCAGCAGTTGGGAGAGGCGCCTGGACATCAGACGTGTACAGCACCACAGCGGGTGGTGGAAGAAGTCAGGAGCACAGGGCAGCACCTGAGGAAACCGGTGGATCTGGGAGAGAAAGGATCGGTAGAAAAGAAAACTCTGCTTGAAGAAAAGGGGCAGGATCCACCCAATAGAGCAGCCATTGCAGGAGCAGAAAAAACCAGCAGAGTTCATCGGAAGCCAAATATCGTGCCAGATCGATTCGCCGGGGTGGTGCCATGGAGAGACTACAAATCTCATTTTGAGTCATGTGCAGTTATTAATAGCTGGACGGCAGAGGACAAAGCTTACTTCCTGGCAGCAAGTCTCAAGAGTCGAGCACAGCAAGTGCTGGGAGACAGGGCTACAGGAGAAGTGCTTTCTGCACTCTGAAGACACAGTTGACATCAGCACCCATACTAGTCTACCCCAAAGAAGGAGGAGAGTTTGTACTAGACACGGATGCCAGTAGCACAGCCCTGGGAGCTGTGCTATCCCAAAAACATGATGGTGTGGAGAAAGTCGTTGCATATGCCAGCCGCACTATGTCAAAGCCAAAAAGGAATTACTGCGTCACGAGGCGAGAACTCCTGGCCGTTGTGACATTTGTCAAGCACTTCCGGCATTACCTGTATGGTCGACACTGGCTAGATGGATGGAGATCTTGAGTGAGTACGACTTCACGATCCAACATCGGCCAGGTCGAGTCCACCAGAATGCCGATGCACTCTCCCGCATGCCATGCAAGCAGTCCGGAAGAGGTATGGAGCAGAACGAAAAGGACCAGGTGGAGATGCCTAGAATTAGTTGCCCAGAAGATTCGGCAATCGGCGATCCTTAGAACGAGGGAAGACGGGAGGAGACAGAAGGGAAAAGTCAAGGCCAACAAAATGTACCGACGACAGGGGTGAATGCAGATCGTGGGACCAGAATGATAAGTCTCTCACCAAAATGGACTCTGAAGGAACTGAGGGAGAAACAGTTAGGTGATCCTACGATTGGACCTATTGTCAGAGCTAAGGAGAATGGAGGGGACAGACCAGAGTGGGAATCTCTCTCCACTGAGTCAGCAGCAACCAAAACATATTGGGCCCAGTGGCAACAGCTGAAGATGCAACAGGGAGCCCTATGCCGACGCTTTGAGACAGATGACGGAAGGCAATGTAAGTTGCAAGTAATTTTGCCGTCATGCCTGCGGGAAAGTGTCCTGGATGAACTCCATGATAGTAAAACGGCATGTCACCAAGGAGTGCGCAAGACCCTACACAAGGTCCGACAAAGGTACTACTGGGCAGGAGTATCGGACAATGCACAGTGTGTGCAAGGAGGAAATCACCGGGCAAGAAACCTTGAGCTCCCCTTCAACAATACACGGTTGGCGCACCGATGGAGAGAATCGCTCTGGATGTTATGGGCCCCCTGCCCAGGAGCGACCGAGGCAATGCGTATGTACTAGTTGTGGGAGATCCATTTACGAAGTGGATTGAGGCATACGCACTGCCAGACCAGAAGACATCGACCATAGCAGAAACTCTGGTGGAGCAATTTATTTGCAGATATGGCTGTCCAAAAGAACTCCACAGTGACCAAGGCACGAACTTCCAGTCCGCCGTATTTAAAGAAGTGTGCAGATTGCCGGGGATCGACCAGACGCGAAATTGCCCTTAAAGTCCGACGGGTTCATTGAAAGATTCAACCGAAGCTTGGTGAATCTGGTTGGGCCGTTCGTAAAGCCAGACCAGAAGGATTGGGATGTCCAGTTGGCATACTCGATGATGGCATACCGAAGTACGGCTCAAGAAAGCACCGGAGAGTCACCTTGCACCATGCTTTAATATGGGGCGGGAGATAGCACTACCACTACACGCGCTTACCCCAGTGATTACCACATGTCGACTGACTATGCCAAAATCTCCGACAGAAAATGAGTGAGGCACATCAAAGAGCTCGGAGCAACATGAAAGTAAATCTTCAGAGGCAAAAGCCCAACTATGATCGCCATGTTTTGGGTAGCAAGATACAAGCTGGTTCATTGAAAGATTCAACCGAAGCTTGGTGAATCTGGTTGGGCCGTTCGTAAAGCCAGACCAGAAGGATTGGGATGTCCAGTTGGCATACTCGATGATGGCATACCGAAGTACGGCTCAAGAAAGCACCGGAGAGTCACCTTGCACCATGCTTTAATATGGGGCGGGAGATAGCACTACCACTACACGCGCTTACCCCAGTGATTACCACATGTCGACTGACTATGCCAAAATCTCCGACAGAAAATGAGTGAGGCACATCAAAGAGCTCGGAGCAACATGAAAGTAAATCTTCAGAGGCAAAAGCCCAACTATGATCGCCATGTTTTGGGTAGCAAGATACAAGCTGGAATGTTTGTATGGCTGCACAACACTGCGCGCAAGAAAGGATTGTCTCCCAAGCTGCAGTTCAAATGAATTGGCCCGTATCTGGTCCTGGATAGGTTATCAGACGTGACCTTCCGGATACAGGAGAAACCAAAATCAAAGCTGAAGGTTGTGCATTATGACAAACTGATGATCTACACAGGCCCAGAGAGAAGAAAATGGCGAACCGAGGGGAGAGATAGTGTTCCTGTGGAGCCGGAGACCGAGGATGAGCAGGAATCTCCACCAACTGATGAAGATGGTGTTCACTTGCCGGAAGATAATCCACTTGGGGAGACTACAGACGACGCGGGGGAATACCCCGGCCAGGGGAACAAACCTTACTTCGAGCCCTCGGCTGAACGCACGGAAGAATTCGAGGAAGAACAACACATTTCCACCCAAGAAAACGGCAGTGAAGATATCACAACGGGCCTAATTCAAGACGAGGAGCAAGAACCAGCATCAAATACCCAACTCTCCGTCGGGCGGTACCGAAAACACCAGCGACGATGTCCCGCTAGATTACAGGATTACGAAGTTTAATCCAAGAAAAAAAGAAGGGAAAAAAAAGGAAGTTGACTGGTATCCCGCAACCCCAGTTATTTTTAATAATAGGTTCTGCAGGCACCACGCAACTCAGCGCTCGACTACATACGTGTGTATAACGTACACATACGGGCATATACACAGTACACATGGGGCGACGCACGTGTGTACGTCATTACGTGTTTGAGCCTTGAACCGTCCACAACTACGACCGCACATCGCACTGTATACAGCCACAATAGCCACCACAGCCACCACAGCCACCACAGCCACCGCCGTTTCCACTAAACTACAGTACCACTGTCCACCATGCCTAGGGGCAACCAAGGTGACAAGCCATCGGTCGGCAAGCGGCGTGACGAGAAGCGACCGGGGGATGACGGGGCCAGCAAACGCCCTAGAACGAGCAGTCATCATCACAAGAACAGCTCAACACCAAGCGCCCATCCCCAGAAGCCTGAGGCCAAGATTCCCGTGACACGCCCGCCAGCCACCACCTCCTTCCCTTGCCATGTGGGTGGTTGCGGTAGGAAATTCACCTCTCGAGCCAGCCTGGTCCAACATGAAAAGGAGAGACATAGGGAGGCCTTGCCCTTTGCTTGCAGCATGTGCGGGGAGCGGTTTACCAGGAACTCCAGCTTGCACCGCCATGCCAAGTCCCAGTTGCACTATTTTGGGAAGAATTGCTCCACCTCAGCCAAGCCTTGAGCACCCAATTCTCCGTCCATCATACCACCGGAGCCGGAGATGCAACTCCTCCCTGTCCCATCCCCGCATGGTTCCCCCTCAACCTCCACTGCTACTGGCCACCCCAAGACTGGGGGAAAGTCATTGCAGCTGCTTAGGCAGCTTCACACCGAGATGGTGCCCCAAGTGAGCTCCTCCACGGAAAGTGAAGACCCAGCTGGGGAGATGGCAGATCATATTGAGGTAACGACCATCACCCGGGTATTCCGCCGAGGAGTATTGCACTCCCAGAAAGACGCAAAGCAAGATTTCTACTTCTTAAAGTTCCAAGTTAAAGTTCCAAATAATTACAGAGTTTTAAAGGTTAAAGTTTGAAATGTTCAGTTGTTATAAAAGTTACAGTTAATTTTGAAACTTCAAAAGTTGAGGACCAAGTTATTTCTAAAAGAGTTGGTTTAATATGAACCACTTTATTTTGTTATACATGTACATGTACTAAGAAGACTTTTATAGTGTATTTTAAAAGTGCTGCTCATCTATTTTATATAAAGCCATCTATTTTATATAAAGTCATGTATTTCATATAAAGCCATGTGTTGATAAAAAGGAATAATCATTCGACTTTAGAGTTGTTCTAAGATGATTGTTAAACTAGGTTTGTGTGCACAAATATTGCTGCTAATGAGATTTATTAAACCCACTTTGTCAGCTGCGAAGATTGTAAATTTTATATAAGAATACTGAATGAAGGATGTGGCTCCGATTCAAAATCTTAAGTTTTCAAATGTTTGTTGTGTAGAAACTTAAATCAATTAAGACTTAACAGTTTCAGGGACTGCAAACTCTGGGGGGAGGTCATGTGATGAATCATCAACTATACGTTTTATACATTAACATGAACTGTATAGCGACTTTTCTTTAGTGCCCAGTCACTCATACTAGAACAACAGCATTTAATTGGCCAGCGCTGTTAGTGGGTGTGGCTTAAGTCATCTACTAAGCAATACTGCATTTTCATTGGTTGAGGCACCCTGTGTACTTTAGTAATGAGGGTCATTAATTGTATGTGAATGTATATGACCATGTTCAACCATGTTGGCCTATAAAAGGCACAGTTCGAGAGAATAAATCACACTTCTTCGCTTGATGGGACTAAAGAAGTCAAAGAAGTCTCCTGTCTCTGTTTTATTGTCTAATTGTCACTAATTAGGGTGCAAGTCTCCGCCACTTGAGCCACTTGAGCCACTTGAGCAACTTGCGCCACTGGTCAGCCACCCTGAGCCACTGGTCAGCCACCCAGAGCCACCAATCAACCACTCAAACCACAGGCTAATCCACCCAAAACCACAGGTTAATCCACCCAATCCCTAAATCCCAAACACTAGTTGAGTTAGCGCTTTCCCCTGGTGGAGCAGATTTGGGAGTGCTGTTCGTCACTTGGTGCTGTGGCCTCCAACCGCAGGTGCTTCAACTCCATTGGGACTGGGCCAGAGAGGCAAGGGACCGACTAGGCGACGCACGTTACAATATATATATTAATATTAAAGAATGAAATAATTCTTGAACAAATGGTTCCATAATATTTTAATGATACACTAATTAAGATACATGTTCAATTCACATCAACTTAAGTTGACTGCCGAACTTATTATTGCAAATTTCTAAGTTCAAGCATGGTTCGAATCAATAAAAGTGCAGCAATTATTCACACAATAATGGCTCAAGCTGCAGATAACTTCGTGCACAGAAATGCAAACAAATGATTGAAACCAAGAACCACCAAATATAAGAATGAACTTCAATCAGCATTACAACTACAGAACACAAATAGCTCTCAACTAGAAACTAAGTCTCAAAATTACAACTCAAAATAACTGAAGACAAGAACTTACCCCTCTATGGCTACGACATTGGCTTGGCTTCAGTGGCCTGCTGGATGTGGGTGCAGACTGGTCTTTTGGCCCTGATGCGGGACCTTATATACACACTGGGTCGGTGATGGACACTTCCATCCATTTGCCGATTGGCTAAATATTAAATTGACAACTCTTTCCCTGTGAAATAATTTGAATATAAACTTTATGATTGGCTAGTTTTTCAGGGAGTCCTGGGTGAATCTGCTGACCAGCAAGATTTCTTCCAGGTCCCAACAACCTCCAAACCCTAATTGATTTGGCTCCAAAGCTAGTGAAAGTGACATTCTTGGTACCAAAAATAGCTAGACAAGGGCATGGGAAGATCTCTCTCAAACAAAGGGTTTGGTTAGACCCAAGAATGAGTCTGGCAGGAGGTCATACCAATTACCAGCCCATTTTGGTGGTGAAAGCTAGGCTTCATGTATCCTTGAGGTTAGGAAACAACATTAAGAAGCCAAATACATGAAACATGAATAACACATGTTTTCATTTCCCGACATTTACCCTGTGCACTCAAGCTGCACATCACCAAGCAGTGACCCACACTGCCCAGTAACACATGCGCAAGAATTAGATGGACCCTATAAGCTCTGCACCCACTAAACATACTGCTATACATGAACATGCAAAGTGAATTCGCTAGTTTTGACATTCACATTGCGCTATTTAGCGCCCTCTGTTGCATTACAGTATAGAAAATGAAACGCATTCTATGACGTCATTTGTTCTTTTTTATTTTCTCTGTTTTCAGTGAAAGTCAGGATGGCAAACTCTGCACTTTTCTGCTTGAACATCAACAAGTATCACAAGTAACAAAAGCTGCAAGTTTGTACAAAGGAGAATCCCATTTAGGGAGTTCAGGGGGTAAGATTTTGTTCAAGTACATGTACATAAAATGAAAAACAACTAGATTTATGGTTGTGGACAAACACAGGGCTGTTTCAGTAATGTTTTTGTGACATATGTCACAGGTAAATTTCAAGTATAAGTTCCATCCAGAAAGGATGTGTAGTTCTATTTATCATAAATGGTGGCATATATAAATATGTGATTACATTCTCAAAGGGCCTTGAATTATGACATCACATGTCACGTGATCACGTCATGATGACATAACATCAATTGTCATCTATAATCATCTATAACAACCTGCCGCTAGAGGGAGCTCTAACATTTTATGACGTCACCGTTTTTCTAAAAAGAGCAACTTAGCCAGTTGAAAGCCAGTTCACATCGTTGAAAGCCAGTTCACATCTTTTACCAATTTTAAATTACAAGGCACTTCCGGTTTCAACCGGAAGGAAGGGTCATGCGATTTCGCATGTGATATCAAAAATGAAGACCCTGGATAATTCTATTGATCCCCGCAAACGTCAAGTTCAGGTCTCTCACGGTTGATTTTCTATTAATTTTCAAATATTACATTTAACATGACGTCACGTGACTCATGATGACATCACGTGACTCATGATGACATCATCGTGACGTCATTTCAATTTTCATGTATAACACATCCCAGTCTAGTTACGTACCAACTTTCAACCCAATTAGACCTGTAGTTCTGGAGATATAGGCTTTCAAAATATGCATTTTAATATGACGTCACATGCCATGTGATGACGTCATGATGGCGTCACTTCATTTTTCATCTGTAACACACCCCGGTCTAGGTGCATACCAACTTTGAACCCAATCGGACATGCAGTTCTGGAGATATGGGCCTTCAAAATATGTTTATTTTATATGACGTCATATGTCACGTGATGATGTCATCATGACGTCAAGTTAATTGTCATCTAAGACATCCCGGTCTTGGTACATACCAACTTTCAACCCCATCGGTCCTGTAGTTCAGGAGATATAGGCCTTCAAAATATGTTTATTTTATATGACGTCATATGTCACATGATGACGTCATCATGACGCCAAGTTAATTGTCATCTATAAGACATCCCGGTCTTGGTACATAGCAACTTTCAACCCCATCGGACCTGTAGTTCAGGAGATATAGGCCTTCAAAATAAGTTTATTTTACATGACGTCATATGTGTCACGTGATGACGTCATCATGACGTCAAGTGAATTACGTGAATCTATAACACATCCCTGTCTATGGACATACGAACTTCCAACCCACTCAGACCTGTAGTTCTGGAGATATAGCCCAATCTGTCAGATCTAGCTGAATACTGCTAGAAAACGGTCACAACAGAAAAATCGCATATAATGTCACGTCACGTGACTCATGATGACGTCACGATGACGTCAATGTTTGGCACACAACTTCAGGTGCTGGTCTAATTGTGTGCCGAGTTTAAAGGCAATCGGATTGATTTTAGTGCCCAAAGTGCCTGGGACAAAAAAACGTGCACAAATGCTATGGGCAAAATGACTGATAAAAAATAAAAATAAACTAGAGCTATGTCTGTTCGATGAACAGAACATAGGGCTTTTCCTTTTTTTTTTGGGGGGGGGGGGGGGTGTTTTGTCCATATGCAATTAGATACCGTAGTTAGAGGACTAAATTCTTCACATACATGTATAGGACTTCAACATTTACACCTTTTAACATGACGTCACATGTCCCGCAATGACATCATTGTAACAACACCATAAATCCCATGAAAGAAAGTGTAACATTTTGTTATGGGAATAAAATCTTAAAAATTAAAAAATCATAAAAATATCAACCGATAATGTCATGACGACGTCATTTCAAATTTTTCATACTTGTGACATTATCTACCTATCCACAAAGTTTCATGAGGATGGGAACTGCTGTTATATGTGTTTTGGAAATTCGCATTTTTGATAATGTCATCGTGACGTCACAAATTTAAAAAAATGTGTATATATACCTATTACCTAACAAACAAAATACAAAAGGAATTTTGAATTTTTCATGTTACGTTCGTGAGATTCGGCTTAAAGGTCCAAAAATTCAAAAATTCATATCAAATCGCATGATTACGTCATCATGACGTCACCTCATTTTTATCTATAACACATCGCAGTCTACCGACACACCGAGTTTTAACCAAATCGGACTTAACTGTTCTGTAGATATAGGACTTCAAAATATGCACGTTTGTGATGACGCCACGT